ACAGACGCCAAATTTAGACTGAAGAACTTTTCATAAAAGTTGTTGTTCTGTAGAAATTTATTCATAACTCCAAAACTTTAACTTAAATCTGTCTAACGACGATTATGATAAACAAATTGAAATTATGTGAACATAATTTCAAAAAAAAAAATAATTCGAATCCAACATCTATCTCAAGAGTAATTGATATTTTAGTGAACCGAATTGCATCAATCCGATATTGAACTAGTTCAATGTAAGCATCCACGATTCTCCTAGGTCAATCCGAGATTGGACGCTAACATATACATATATATATTAGAATACTAAAATATATTCTTGCAGCAATTAGATGAAATTCGCCTCATGCTACCACAGGACATTGTAGGTTTGAATATTTTAACATTTTGATTTGATATTTTTGCATGTTAATATATTTATTTGCTTGTAAATTTCTAAATTTTATTTGTTTCTAAAAACTAAGAAATTAAAAAAAAAAAAACGAATGTTTGCATGCATGAAATTGTTTTTATTTTCTTTAATTTTGCTATTATCTTATAATTAATTCATAATACACACATAAATATATATATATATATAAGCTTTATTTAATATTAAAATATTTGATTTAGGAATGTGCAACAAAATATCTTAATGTAACTACTGCAATTAATGTAACTTTTGGAAGAAAATATCGGAATAAGACGACACGTGATCAACAGAAACCAGTATGTTTTATAATATAATCCATTATTATTATTATTTTGTTTTTTTTTTTGTGTAGACAATGCTTGGTACGATACCTTATTTAGGTTTTTATTTCTATGATTTGACATACATCGATTCTGCTTATCCAAATACAATAGTCATCGAAAATGATAATTCATCATCATCATCGAAAAAATTAATTAATTTTGAAAAACATCGAAAAGAATTTGAAGTTTTAGCACAAATTAAATTATTTCAATCAGCTGCTAATGCATATATAACATTACATCCATTACCACGTTTTAAAGCTTGGTTTGATAATGTTCGAATTTATAATGATGCTGAAAGGTTAAACTTAATAATATTTTATCTAAAAAAAAAACAAAAATAAATTTGTTTTATTATATGATTTGATTTTAGTTGGGAATTATCCTATCAAATTGAACCAAAAGAAATAACAGATAATTGTCAAGGTCTAGAACAATTAGTTCAAAATATTGTATCTCCAGCATTGAAATCACCGTATGTTATATATAATTTAAATTAATAAATAAAAAAATTTCTTTTTTTTTTGTTTTAGTACAAATGAACAATTTCCATTCGAAGTATCATTAGAATCACAAATAATATCAAATTATAATAATGAACCAATGACAACATCAGGTCTTTCACTACAATCATCACCATCATCAACATCACTCGATAAAATGAGTATAATATCAAATAATTCTCTAACTCAACAGTATTTTGAAAAAAAACAATCAAGAATAAATAAAGTAAGCAAAACAAAAAAAAGACAAAATTTTCTTTCTTTATCGATTTTTTAATAATTTCTATATTTTTTAAAGAATTCTCATGTAAATCATTCACGATCATCATCAGCTTCGAGCTTTTTAACTTCATCAAATGGTAGTTCAAGTCAAGGTTATATATCAGCAACAGCATCACCAAAAACTAATGCTGAAAATTCAACATCAAGCACTTGTGATAATGAAACAATCATTGCAAAAGTACATTTTGCTGGAAAAAATGATCTTTTGTATAAAAAAGTTCGAGTAAGTTTAATACTATGAAGATCTAATATATAGAATAAAACAATTCGTCAAAAATATATCACTGATTTAAATTTCTAGTAAAAGTCATATGAAGACATCATATCGATTTCCTATATCCTCGCTAGAATTCTGATAGATGATACTAATTCAACATAAGAATCATAAAATTAACGATGAAATCATAGAATGCATTATAAACCTACGTGCGAACAATAATCTATACTATCATCTATTATTCTTATTATAAATACATGAAAATTATTAAATAAACCGATCATTTTTTTGTTTTGTTTAAAATAATATTTAGAAATTCTTTAGAGTCATTTCGAAAGTACAATGAAGGGGGGGGGGGGCCGAACTTTACTATTCTTACTATAGTCAAACAATGAGAAAAAGAAACAGATGCATCAGTTTTCATTATTGTATCTTGAAATAAATTAGAGAACGCCATAGAATACATACCCTATAGATAACCTGTGTTGTTCTACATTGATCTTGCACATATAGAAACAGAATAACCTTTTTCTGAAATGTAGAACCTGGAGGATAATATCTGAGCTCGACAGAACACATCAAAGTTACCTCATTGATCATGATGTAATGAAATTTTTCTATGATTATTGATAGTAGCCGGAAGAGTAGATACTATATCAGCCACTATTGCTTCAGTGGAAAGATTATTTAGCTTAGTTGGATTGACATGTATTCAAAGAGAAATATATTTATCATTAAGTCAAACTGATAACATTATTTATTTGTGCTTATAAAAAAAATTCAAGAAAAAATAATAGAATGAAAATTTATCTTTTTTCTTTGTCTCCGTATTTGTAATTGAATATAATTTTGAATTCTGTATCTTTATCTTTGTTACATTTTGATATTTATTTTTTTCTGAAAAATAAAAATTAATATATGAAAATATTTTAATATTCAATAGATAAGAGTCATTATGAAATGTAGATCAATCTAAGAAAATAAAGACATTAGAAAAAAGTACCGACAATACATTAAAATGTTATTTTTGAAATATGAGATGTTATTGATAATAACTTGAGTACAAAACAAAATAATTTAATTTTTCTATTAGATAATAGTAAATGCGTCAAAATAAGATATTTTACTATTTTATTTTTTTGCAATATGTTATTACTTAAAAACAGAAAAGTGGTCTCCGGAAATTAAATTTACCGTTCGGAAATATATATGAAGTTTGTGTAAGATTTTTTTTTTTGTCGTATTTTTATCTATAGATAAAAAATAATGAACGAACAACAAGTGTATTAAAAACTATTCTTGATAAATTTGGTTTTGATCCATCAAGTTATGATCAATATTGTATTGAACAACAGTTACCTGATCGAAGTAAGTATTAACTTTTTTTTTCTTCTTTGTTTTGTTATATCAATAAATTATTTATTGTTATTATAGAAATTCTTATACTTGATCATTGTAATGTATTTTATGCACTTGCTCGTTCATCAGATGATGAACAAGTTGAATTAATTGTAAGAGAAAAAACTCGACAAGAACGTCAAGTAAAAAGCAATAATCCTTTGATTGGTACTGGACATAATCGAACACCGAGTGGATTTAGCACATCTTCTATTAATAGTCGTTAGAGAAGAAAAATAATATATATATATATAATTATTATTTGTATATACCTATTTTCTTTCTTTTTTTTTTTTTTTATTCATTTATCTACAGTGAATTCTTAATATAATGTGTTTAGAAATATTTTTTATTCGCTATGTCGAATCTCTTTTTTCCTTTATTTATTTGTTTTTTTTATTCATATCAATAATACTTTCATTCCATATTTTGTGAACAAAAATAAAGAGCTACTTTTTATTTCTATATTTGTATGTGTATGTATGTTTTCATCTACCGAATATGTCTTTTTTTAATGAGGGTTAATAAGCTTTTGTTCTTTTTGATTTTCTGTTTTTTTTTCCTCGATCTCTGGAATGTATTTATTTGAAAAACAAAGGAAAGAAGAAGATTTAAACTAATCTATTCGTTGATAATAAAATATGAAGAGAAATAAAAGAAGAAAAAAAGAATGGCTGATGCCCATCAAACTAGCAGATGGAACAAATAAAAAAAAAAAGAAGAACGAGAGAATGTCAGAGAAAAATAATAAGAGTGCTACTCTTGTCTTGTTGATGTGTCAGCTATAGATATATATAGACAAATAGACGTTTGCATTCTAATTCGTGTTTTTTTTTTGCAATTATTACACGTGATTTTTCAAGAAGAACAAAGCAACAATAATACACCAGGAATAACAATCACATCAATTCAATATGTACGTAAATTAATCACAATAATATTCGAATGATTAATGATTTCGTAAAGAAAAAGAAAATGAATGAGTATCCGGAATTTCATACTATTATTTCTTTATAAAATAATATAAGATTATTTACAAATCATTCTGTTGAATGTGAGTATGTACAAACTAGTTTATTTATATCAAAATATTTATTTCATAACCTTTGAATATCCTTACAAACAACAATAATTTGTAAGACAAGATAATTAATTGTCATTGACGCATCTTCGTTTTTTCTTATATTATTTTCGTCTTTTTTCTTCAAGTACATAATCTATTGTCATTGTCAGATTTTTTTATACATTATTCTATTACATCTGTACTCATTCATCCTTAATTATGTGATATATGTAACTAGATAGAGTACGAGTATATTGCTATAAACGATATAATTAATAATGTTACTCATTATATAGAACTTTCTTCGTGATTCATATTATTAGAGATGTCCGTACAGCACGATCATCATTGACATCGTTGTATAAGCTCTTGACATTTGTATTTTTTTTTCTTTTTAGTTTCTTTTAAATAACAATGTGCTTATCGTTAGATAGCAAAAAAGTGCTTATCTTTTTTTTACACTTTAGCGAATCATTATGAAGTTATAAAATTAATCTAATTCTATATATCATTAGATGCTTGCTGTTTTCAAAAGTTATTCGAGTTTCTACTTATTAAAAAAGAAAAGACATATTATATTCTATAGATTACTGAGTATGCCAGAGTCCAAAAGGTGAAAATTCAGGAGTTCTTTTAATCTAATTATCATTGTTTGCCTTTTTTTCGTACTTTAAACACGTAAACTATGTCAAAAATATCTTATCTATGAAATATTAGAGCTGATATTTCAAAGGTGATTGAAGGACAATTAAATATTTAAAGCATTTTGCTTTTTGTCTTCATTTAGTTAGTTAAGGTCAACTATGTCGAATAACAATGATGAAAAACTACGAAATAAATCTTTATCAAAAAGAAATGATAGAGAATCAGGATTAATTAATGATATAACACATCAATTATTAATTCATACACGACAAGGTCATAATAAAGTTATATCAGAATCAATATTACCATTACTATTATGTTTTGCATGTCCATTTTTTGTTCGATCAATTGTTTTTATATGTAATCATTGTGATGGATCAATAATGGAATATCTTCGACGTCTTTTATTCGATCATACAATGACATTAAAAGATGTTTTAGAAAATTTTTTCTATTTTCAATGGCATTGGCCATCAGCCATAATTATTTTTGGTGTTTTTACTTATGCTATTATTATGACGATGTTATTACCTGGTGATGAATATAGTGGACCAATAACGGATACAGGACATGTACCAATCTATCGAAATAATGGTTTCAATTATTATATTGTTTCATTAATTATATTTGCTTTATTAACAATAGTGTTAAAATTAAATAATCTTTCTCCAACATATATATATGATCATTGGGAAGAATTTTTATCAACTGTAAATACATTTGGCTTTTTATTATGTTTTGGTGTTATGATCAAAGGTAAATATATGCCATCAACAAATGATCATCGATCATCATCAAATTGGTTAACAGATTTTTATCGTGGAGTAGAACTTTATCCAAGAATATTTAATATTGATATTAAACTTATTACAAATTGTCGATATGGAATGTTAACATGGGCACTATTATCTATTATTTTTTGTATGAAAACCTTTGAACTTTATGGTTATACAGATAGTGCTTTAGTTACATGTATTTTAACACTTGTTTATTTAACAAAATTTTTTTGGTGGGAATCAGGTAAATTTCATCGTTTTTGTTTTAAATTTAAAAGAAAAAAAAAATATAATTTATATTTACATATAGGTTATATGAAAACTATTGATATAATTGTTGATCGTGCTGGATTTTATTTATGTTGGGGTTGTATTGTATGGGTATCTGGTATTTATACACTTCCATCTTATTTTATTGTTAAACATCCAAATCAACTTGGATTTGTATTAACATCAATTATATTACTATTAGGTCTTCTTTCAATCTATGTTAATTATGATTGTGATAGACAAAAACTAGATGCTCGATCAAAACATGGAAAATGTTCAATATGGGGTAAACCAGCTGAAATAATTCATACAAAATATCGTTTATTAAATGGTAATGAATGTGAAAGTATATTACTTGTATCTGGTTATTGGTCATTATCAAGACATTTTCATTATATACCCGAATTAACATTAGCTTTTCTTTGGACATGTCCATGTGGTTTTAAATATATTTTACCATATTTTTATTTTATTATATTGTTTATTTTATTAATGCATCGTGCACATCGTGATGATCAAAAATGTACATTAAAATATGGTCAAACATGGCTAAAATATTGTCATTTAGTACCTTGGAAAGTATGGCCTGGAATTTATTAATTATGAATGACCAAATAAAAATGAGCTTTTCTTTTCTTTTCTTTTATTTCTTCGTAAAACTTGCAAATAAAAATTAAAAAATAAAGCGATATATGATTGCACGAACTATTAATAAAATATGATGCCGATCATATTAATATTGCAACAACAAAAAGAAAAAAACCATTCATTTTGTTTATGTTATATATATAAGGTGCTGAAAATGCAAAATTCCAGTGAATTTTATTTTATTTTTTTTGTTCTCTTATATATGGTTTGGTAGAGTTTGAAAAGCTGTTTATGAATATATTTTTTGTATTTCAGTTGGATCATTGTTTAGCTAGAAGGAATAGTTAAACGCATCAAATGACTAAAACAAACTATTTTTAGCCACAGCTTCTTTTTTCCTAATGAAACTGTTAGTTTTTAATTACATGTATTCGACAAACTTTTTGAAAATATTATATTCTGAGTAAGCATGAAAACCTGAGTAGAAAAATGTTATTTAATACGATGTAAAGCTAGTAAGGTTAAAAAACTCTTATCTTATCTAATTAGGTCAATCAGGTTCAAAACATATATCTGTAAGCATGCTTGTAAAGCTATCTAATTTTTGAAAAAAAGATATAGAAGCATTTTTCTCATCTCATTAGAATCACCAGATCGTGAGCTACAAAAATGTGTATTCTGTTTTTTTTTAGATTCTGTTTTCTAGTTGAAAGAATCGAATTTTTTCCTGTCTCGTGGTAATATGAGATGAAAGGAAGAAAAATGCGTTCTTCCTCAGCGGTTTCTATTATCATGGTTCAGTGAAGAAGTAAAATAGATAGCATATTCGAAATCAATGTGAAAAACTGCATCCAATACTATATGTTTTAGTAAGAACTGTTTCCCATGGGAAATCGGTCCGTGGTTCCTCTTAGATCTATATTTCTAAAATGTTGAACCTAGTCCTTCAGGAGCCGATTTTTTGTAGAAAAAATTCTTAAAACATATAGTATTCGATGCATTTTTTGATACTAATGCCAAGTATACTATGCATTTAAACCAAGAATAAAATTCAATTTTCAAACTATAAAACAAAATCTAAGAAAGTGAAATAAGTACTTTCGTAGTCTACAATCTGATGATTCTAATTAGATAAGAAACATGCTTCTATCTCTTATTGCAAAAAAAAAACTAGATAGGTATACAAGACTGCACATGGATACATGCTTTGAGTTTGATGGACCTAATCATATCAGATAAGACTTTTTTTAACATTGATAGGCTTAAATCTTATTAAATAACAGTTTTCTACTCAATTTTTTTATGTCGATTTAGAATATAATATGTTCAAAAAGCTTTTAAGATAAATGTAATCGAAAGACAACAATTTCTATAACAAAAGGGGATTCGTGACTAAAAGTACTATGTTGTAGTTACTTGACATGTTTAACTATTTTTCCAGCTAATAGTGAAATAAAAAAAGGTATATTTGTGATCAGATTTTGTCAGCTCTACCAAAACATATATAAGAAAACTAACAAATAAAATTCACTAGAATTTACATTTTTGGCACCTTATATATATATATATGAATCAATAAGTTTTATTATTTTGTTTGTTTATTATGATTCTATCACAGTTTAAGATTTTTTTCATTATTAATTTTTTCGTCTTGTACGATAGACATTTAATGAATTCAACTCTTCACCACTAATTTTACATTTTATTGGATTTGGTGGAACAGGTAATGATAATAATAATGGAGCACGTAAACGTGCTAAATCAGTATGTACAATAAAGAGACGATTTTTTAATTGATTATAAAGAGAAATATCAAATGAATGATGATGAGCTTCACTATAAAATTTACGTAGAAATAAACGATCAGTCATTGTCATAATTTCAAAATCAGAACGAGTCATTAAATAAAATGCATAAAATGACATTGCCGTACCAAAAGCAATAAAATATGAAATAGGTTCAACTATATCCCATGAATAAACATCCCATGTAAGTTCAGCTAAAATACCAACTTGAAATGACATACCAGCTAAACCATACCATATATAACGAGATACATAACGTTGACATATATTAGCTAATTTGTTTTTAACCTGTTAATATAAAAGAATAAGGCAAATAAGATAATATTTCTCTATTATCTCATTATTTTCATAATAAATCAAAGAATCTCATTTGAATAAAAATAATAATATTACTCTCCTATTTCAATCAAATAATAAATTCCATATATAATTCTAGAAAAATCTCCTAGATTAGATAGTGTATTGCATACATAACTATTTCTATTTCTGTCTTATTGGATAATAATGAATTTTTACTATATGAAAGAATTATAATGATGTATCTTGTTATTGACTAGCTTTCTAACAAAAACAATAATAATAATAATAACAACAACTAGATATTTATACTTTTTCAAGTTGTTCAAGTTGTATTGTTAAATCATTTGCTTCATTTGTTAATTCAAGATATTTATTATGATAAATATTCATAGCATTTAATGCATAATAAAGTGCAGCAACTGTATCTTCAGTTGATGGACCATCAATTTTATTTTGTCTAATAATATTCTCTTTAATTTGTATGTTTTTAATTGGATCAAAAAGAAATGTACGTTGTTGATTTAATCGTATTGTAAATGGTGAATTCATTAGAGAATTTATTGAATATGATTTAGCTAATAAATGACCATGTTCATCATAGATATGAACATGTTCAATACCAGTATCTTCAGATTTGATTTCATTTATGAGTTGACCAACTGTTGCTGTTTGTAAATCAAGATGAAAACGACATGTTTCTTGACGTGATGGTAATTTTAATGATAATATCAGAACACTATTACTATAAACTAATAATGATTCTACAATAAATTATAATTTTATATTAATGTTACATATTAATTCTAATAGAAGAATTTATTTTCAAATTAATTATTTACCTGGAGTAACTAATGGTTTAGTTACAACTGAATATCTTCGAAATGTTGTCTTCGAAACAGTTCTTGTTACATTAATAATCGATCGAAGCAATGTAGAAAAACGCATTTGTGTTTATTTTGGATAATTAATCAATGTAGCATATATTTATATTATCTTAGTTTAGATAGTGTTGTCTATGATAAAAGAGAAAATACAAGTGTATGAATGTACATTTTTTTCATGCACCTGCATCATATTCAATAAAAAAAAATTTTTTACATTCATCAAGATATTAAATATTATTATTACGAAAAGAAGTACTGCTTCTGAATAACTGTTCTCTTGCCTCTCTTCTTCTTCTTTAGTATTTTTTCTCTTTCTAGCTTTGCCATGCGTCTTCTCAAACTAGTAGTATTATCATGGTAAGAATAGTTGAGTGGAGGTACAAGGACATGGGTAAACTCATAGAATAAAGAATAAGAAGAAAACGAGTCGTTATATCTCGGCTTTTTTTTTCTCTGCGTCAGTTATACATCAATGTAGCAATTCTAAATTGGTTTCTAGCTTCGAAGAATGATAACGATTGTGGTTGAAAGACAAAGTTTTTTTTACCACATGCATAATTTACGGTGCGTTATATTTTTTTGGAAATCAATCAGCTTTTATCTTATTAACAGCTGTCTATACATATCAGGATGTCGTTTACTAGAAAACAACAAATCTAGTCTTCTAATCTTAGAGAACTGGTCAATTCAGAAAATATGGAAGCAGTAGAGCACAATGAAGTGCTATTTTCTATTCAATGAATACAAATAAATAGGATTTGTATATATATATTATGTCATTCATTATCAGACTTCAGAAACCGGTAAGATAATTGCTATCACGGTCAAAAACGGTTTTTGGAGTTCGTTTGAGTTATTATAACCTCTTGTTTTTTTTTTTTCATTTTAGTTGAGAAACAATGAAAAGAAATTTCGCTCGAAGATAACGATTGTCGCTTTACTCACCTCTTAAATTCGTCACTAATATTATTATCATTTCTTAAAACTTTTGTAACACAAACGAGAAATTTGTCAGTAAATGATAAACGATATAATGCATAAATAAAGACCAGACTTGCAATAAATGCCAGAAGCGTGATGAAAATAATACTTTCATTCGTTCGATTAAGATCATTAACAGTCATATAAATAAAGATAGATTTTTTCTTGTCTTGATCTTTGTCGAAATATTATAAAAAATAAAAACTTATATCTAAATTTATCATTGTTTTCATGTCAAATAAAATAATAATAATACGTAAAAGAAAATTTTTACATTATGAATACTAATAAATGAAAAAAGATCAATAAGAAAGTTTTTTTGTTTCCTTAAATTTAATATTAGTATAATTTAAGTATTTATCTATTCGATAAATTTGATTGTTTGTCAAGGACAATGAACAAATTTATGTTGATCTTCCTTTATTAAAGTGATTTTCTCGTGTTCGCTTTCTTTTCTATCACGATGTTCAAATTTGATCAGCAAAATACATTTTGTGTGTATTCTTGCAAATGACAAATGATTGCTCACATACAGTTAAGAGCTTTTATCATGCACAATATGATTAATGTCAATAATGTCAAACATGAGATAGAGAAGAAAAAACAGACAAAATAATCACATATCAAACTCTGTCTTTTACAAAATTATATTTATATTCGAAGTCATGACCTTGGTTTCTTTTTTTTTAATGATCAAGGCATATCTTTTTAGATGCCATAATCATGTTTTATTCAGTGGAGGACATCAATTAGAATAACAGTTACAATAAATTTTCTCATGAGACTAAGATAGAAGAAAGAAGAAAAAACAAGCATGAACTTTTGAAACAAAAAAAAAGCGAAAGAGAGAGAGAAGCTCTTTTTTGTTTTTCTTTTACGAGGCGTATTATTATTATTTTTTTTTTTTATAAAAATCTATTGATATTAATGAACAAACGATTTATTTTATCACTATATATATATATATATACACATACATAGATAGATTTGAGATAAATGTCAAAATGAATACGAAATAAAAATAAGGAAAACGAAAAGAAGATCGAAGGACATCAGTCTAAATTAGAAAATGAATCATCACCAAGATGTTGTTGTTGAGACGAATTAATCATTGAAGTATTCTCATGTGTTTGATCAAAATTATCCATTGTTGATGAAGAACTTGAACCAGGTACGATCGTATATGGTAAAAGAACATTATTCGTCGGATTACTACTTGTATCAATAACCAATTGTGCCTGACATTAGAAAGAAAAACAAAAATATTCGTTTTGAGCTTTTAATTTATAAAACTTAAATACCTGTGGTGATGAATCATCATCATTATCATCATACATGCCAGGTGATGTAGATGCGCGAGATGGTGGTGGTAGAGGTGTTGCAAAATTTGTGCCCGATCGTTGCTCATTTAAACCTGGTAAATCAGATGACGGCATATAAAGTAAATCTGATGTTGAATTATCATTTGATGATGGTTTTTTAAGAATTGATCGTGGTTGTTGAGAAAAATTTGGTAATGATGAATGACCACTGTTAAGTGCAGATACATTGGGTGGTGTTACAGGTGCACGTCCACGTGCTGGTTGTTGTTGAGACCATGATGACCGAGGTCGATTTTGATGGAAACGTGATGGTTGTTGAGTCGGTGGTGATTGCCAACTACCGATTTGTGATGGTGGTGGTGATGGTCGAATACCTATAGATAACATTGGTTTTAATAGATTACATCAACCTGCGATGCAAAAGTAATTGCCAGGAACTCGACATGTTTCTTAGCTCAGAAACATCATATAGAGTACATTCTTAAGGAAAGAAATTTGATACTCAATATTGAAAAAAAAATCTCTTGCAAATTCTATCCTTTTCGTACATCTCTCTCTTTCGTAGAACTCGTCAGATTCAAAAGTTTCGGGCCTTGGCTCGGTCATAATTACTTTTACAAGCTTGTCACTAATTTAACAAAATAGGTCATCTGATCTAAGCTTTAGTGTATAACCATTGAACCAATTTCCATCCTTTTTCTGAATTAAAATGCAATTGTCTATAAATTCGAATAAATTAGTCTGAACTTTTTCTATCATGTTTCAGCTTTGAATAACAAATTTCTTCTCAATGCTTCGTCTTTTCTATGCAACCTCGATGCTACTTTCTATCGAACTAAGACGTAAAACATACATTGTTTACTGTTTAAAAATTATTGAGTAACTTTCCGACTTTACAAAAAAAAAATATTTAAGGAAAAAAAGGTACGTTACAAGAACTCTTTTGTCGATATTCGGTATCGAACTTTTTTTTCTCATTCAAAGTTAACTTCAAAAAGAAGTTTTTTCTATGATTTTTAAGATTTCGACAGTTAATTTTGCATCATAGATTATAATTATTACTTGGTGTTGGTAATAGTGGAGCTTTTGATAGAACAGGACTTGAACCTAGAAGAATATGATTTAAGAAATTGTTTTTCGTGAACTAAAAGATATAACATACTTGTATTTGTAGTAGTAGTAGTAGGTTCAGTTTTTGGTTTTGTTGTTACTTCTTGTGATGATGATTTTCTTGGAATACGAAATAATGAATTAACAGGAGTTGTTGGTGCTAACGGATTATTTGTTGTTCCTGTTGATGGACTTGTAAGTTTAGCAGCAAGAAGTGGTGGAGATGTAACACTTTGTTTATTAGTATTTGTTCCCGATGGTATTGCACGGGTACGTTGTTTCAGTGCTTCTTTAATTGATGATGGTATATTATTTGATGGTGGTGCTGATGTTGGTGTTGTTGTTGCTGTTGGTGCTGTTGTTGTTGATGATGATGATGATGAAGATTGATCTTGTCCAGAATAAACTTTACTTCGTTGAATTTTTAACACAATTGGTGGTTGTGGTGGAGCTGATCGTGATTGAGATGATGCTGATGATGAAAGAGGTGTTGATGTATTTGATTGAGATGATGGTGGACGTGGTCGTTCACTAATACATAAAATAAGATATATTTCAAACAAACAACAAAAAAGAAACATGTTCTACCGTGGTGTTTGTTGTATTCCATCATTAAGTGCCATTAATGCATTTGCGCTTGGATCGACATTTAATTGTGACATATCAAGACTTTCACTTTTAATTATAACAGATGGTGATGGTCCACTTGTTATATTATTATTTGATAATTTTCTCATTGTTGTTGGTAAAGATAGACTTGGATTTGCCATATGCTGTTGCTGTTGTTGTTGTTTTTTCCGTTGTTTTATTGATTGTTGTTGCGAATCATCATTTGAAGCAGTTCCACTATCACCAAAACGTTTAATAACAACTTTTAATGGTTTTAATTCATTTGATGTATCATCTGATGATGTTAATGATTGTTGAGGTAGTAAACTAGCTGTTGGTGAATCTGATACTTTAAATGATGATTTTTGTCGAACAATTTGTGGTTGCTGCTGCTGTTGTTGTTGTTGTGTTTGTTGAAGACTTTTATCCATTGGTTTTTTACCTCGTTTTATAGTCGATGATTCACCACTATTTGATGTTGTTAATTTTGTTGCATGCAATGGTGAACGATTATCTAAATCGAAAATTTAAAAAATATAATGTTTAACTTTTAATGAGTTTTATAATTCAAAAAAAATTCTAAATTCATCAAGTAATTTAATCTAAAACAACTAGAGAAGGTTTCATTTTGAATTAATTTATTTCTGTTATAAGTTCCCTATTTTTGTGTCGTATACACATTAGTTTTCACTTTATATTTATGAATTAAACCATTTAAACAATAGTGGCTTTGTCGAAAAGAAAAACAGATTCATTGTTGATGTTTTCTAACATTGCCATCAAAGTCGCGTAATCTAAACTCAATATTGTAAATCTTCTTCGTTCATAACTATAAGTTGAAAGCAATAGGCTTAGAAACGAAGTATTTTACACTTTTATATGAACAGAAGCAGCTCGAACAAGTTGGAAAAAAAATACTTAATAAAGATTATAAAAATTAATTTTCTCGATTCTATCAAAAAAAAACGCTTTTGATAGAATCCTGAAAATTACCCACAGAAAGATTCTTTAGAAAAAAAGCATGATAATCTAAGATTAACCGCGGTTTTTTCTTGAAAAAATTTTTTTCGTGGGTAGTTTTGAGAATCTTAGCTTTTTGAGACACTTTAAAATCGAAATCTATCAATAGGAAATTATTTTAGCTATTTAAATCTAATAAAACTACTTAAATTCTAATTTGTGTAGTGCGAGATATTTATTCAAAAACTTCAATGAATATACTATTATATTATTCGAAAAACAAATTCTCATTCTTAAAGGATATTCACACGAACTTTTCGAATAGTCTAAACATTAATTTAATAAATAACTTTGATATGAAAAATTTTATTTGAAAATAAATTCTTACCATTAGATGTATTATTTAATGTATGCATAAAATCATCAGTTGAATGTTCTGATCTTCTTCGTTTCTTTTTTTGTTGCGTTTTATTATTTGTATCTGTTGGTGGCATAAGATTTGATGATGTTGCTGAATTTGTTGGAAAAAAAGCTGATGGATCAAATGCACCCATGATCAATGGTGAACTAACTGGACTATAATCTGGTACAGATACTTGTTTGCCTAATGGAAAAAAAATATTTCCATTTGGATTATTTCGTCCACCAGGATAAGGTGTTGATGGTGTTAAACCAAATATAGGTGGTGTTGAAACAGATTGTGTTGATGATACTGATGTACCACGACTTAATGTTGATGTATAAGTATTTGATGATGGTTTTGGTAATAATTGTGGATGATTTTGTTGTTGTTGTTGATCAGGTGAATTAATAAATGCATCATTATCATCATTATCAAATGGTTCATTAATTATATTTTGATGAATATCATCATCAATTATTTGTTCATCATCAATTTTCTCTTGATTATTATCCATTGATATTAATGTTACACAAGCTGGTTGATTACGACGTAATGTTGTTGCACGTCGCCATGTTAATTTTGCTGGTGGACCACATGATAAACGACGATTTAATTTTGTTACATTTATTAAAGATTCTTGTGTACGATTAATTTGTTTATTATTATTGATATTAGTATTAGTATTAGTATCATTATTTGTTATTGATAAATATTGTTTAGTATAATCTTCTTTAAGAAATTTTTCAATTATATTTAATAATGAATTTCTATCATTTGTTAAATAAATTTCTTTTTGTTGTTGTCGATTAATTAATAATGGTAATGTATTTATATTTGACATTTGAAGTAAAAATGTTAATAAATGATATGATTGTGCACATGTTATTGATAATATAGTTGATGATAAAAATGATAATTCAAGATATATATCATGATGATTATCATCATCCATATGTTCATATTCATAATTATAATTAAAATAATAATTAAAATATTTTGTTAAATAAATTTGTTGTCGTATAATATTTAATATATGTATTAATTGTTTAAGATTTGTAAACGGTATACGACGTATTTCAATTGATGTTTGATCATGTGATATATACCATTGATATTGATTAAGTAATTTTGTTTTAGGTAATATTGTTGAAAGATAATTAAATGTTTTTGTATTTGTATAAAAATTATTTATATTTGTTAAATGACTTATTTCTTGTGCATATGATAAAAGTAATATAAATGGTGATTGTTTTTCATCAAATTCAATTGCAAAATGACCTGTTGCAAGAAGATTTGATTTTAGAGATGTATCAAATTGTATTGTATTGGTTTTTTCATCCATATATATACTTGATTTCATTGGTAAATAATGTTGAGTTGTACTTGGAACAATTATTATACGAACATTATTTGGTAATAATGAATCATTTTTTACTAAATATATATTATATTAGAAATATCAGATAAAAAAAAAAGAAAACAGTGTTCATATATGTTACAAATATGTAAAGTAAGATAAAAGCGAAAAGTCCTTTTTCTCTATTGATGTTTTTTTTTTGTTTTTTGTTTTACAATTAGAGCAACACTTTTTGAGACATAAATCACAACACTTTCAGATGAACGGCTTTAAACACTTGAATTGTATTAGTTAAGGCGAAAACTCAGTTTCACTGACAAGGATGCCTTCTTAGACTCTCACTTCTAATTTCACTGGTTTTTTTTTTGCTTATGGATACTATACAGTCTCTACATAAAGACATCTGAGAAGATTTTCAAGGAGGATTATATCGTTTCGTCGTTACTGACAATTAAGATAAAAGATTTAATCGATTAAGAAAATTAGAAATTTAATTGTATGGTATTTACTGTACAAACTGATATGTTTTTGGAATTTGATTAGTATCTTTTCGAGGCTTACGATCATGATACGAAATCGGAATAGAGCTTGACTTCGATTTTTCTGCATATTTGTAAAGTCTTGAGGATACACATAAATCGAGTTTCAATTATATTTTTCTTTTATCCATGAAAACCTACATTGATCATTAAATTTAATACGCATAGGTAAACCTTCACAAACTGGTTGAAAACCTTCTAATAATTTTCCATATATATCTGTTTTTGATAAACGTTCTAAATCTTGTTGAAGTATTTTATAAGCTGTATAACCAATTCTTTTATCATTATTCATATTTGGTGCTGTTAATGTAAATAAACTTGCATAACCATTTAAATGTTCACGAAATAATTTATATTGTTTTTCATTTAAAGCTTTTAACATTCTTGGACATGTCAAAGGTTCTTCATTTGTTTGTTGTTCATATGTAAAACGCATTAGAACATTAATAGGTAAATGTGTTAAAGAATCAAATTCAATACAAACAAAAAATTGATCTGAATGTAAATACATCTTATTAGCATCTTCGAAAGTTTTTAATTGACAATATTCAGCAGCTAATTCTAATTGTTCATGTATTTGATTTATTGTTGTTTTTGATGATGAATTAATATCATACATATGATGAAGAAGTTTATCATAACATGTACGAATAATTTGTTGATTTGAACGAATATCTTGTTGTTGTTGATTTAAAGAAAATGGTAAACGTTGTAAATCATTCCATGCTGGTGGTTGAGATAAATAAAGACGTTCCATTGATACATTACTTAACATCATAACTGATGATGTTGTCATTTTATAAATTTATATCTTTAAAACAAAGCGAAACAAAATTAAATCAACACTAGAATTTTTTTTTATTTGCTTAAATCAAATTTGATGTATAAAAAACAAAAAAAATCTATCTGTACATTAATAAATGAAAATAGACGACTATAGATTTAAATAGCAATAACACATAAAAGGAAATATTTCTTTTTTTTTTGTTTAATTAATTATCTGTTTTTATGTTTTTAATTTAATAATAATAACAATTGCAACAATAACTGCAATTACAAGAAAGATAAGTAAAAGCCAGCAAAGTTTTTTACGATATTTTTTCTAAAAAGAAAACAGAAAGATAGATTAGATTATTAATTAAATTGAATTTACTTGATGTCTTGATGCACCTAATAATTGTTGATTACCAGCAATTATATTATCATTTGCTGTAGTAACAGTTTGTTCAATACCAGCAATTATTGGAGATTGTTCAGAAACAATAGCACCAATATCACGCATCATATGATTTATTTCAATGACATCAGCCTTAAATAAAAATAATAAATAGATCATTTATAATTCTAATATTTTATTAAGTAATTATTATATAAATCTTGAAAAATTTTAGAACTAAAATATAGATATTCGATAGTTTTCAATTAATAATTTATGAAAATTTGTTCTTTTCAAAGATTTGTTTATTTACAATAAATGAAACTTTAGATATTTTGAGGAAAAAAAGAGATAGAATTCTAAATATTTCTCATCAAATTCTGAATAATAACATTTATTACAAAGAATTTTTATTGATTTGATATGAATTATTTTTTTTTCTATTGCTTAACATTCAAGTTAATCTGAAATTATAACATAAAATTTAGTTGACTGATGTTTTTATTTGATCAGAATTTCTGTTGAAAAAGTTGTTCGAGTCAATCTTTTCTTGTACATTGAAAAACAATTCGCTTTAAATTAGCTCAGATAATGAAGTCATTGGTTTATGATGCTGTACTGTTCAGTATTTAGATTATTATTTGTTATATATGATGAGTCAGAATAACTATATGCATAAATTTTTTTCTCATATTTCAATGTTAAGTAAATGAAACGGTGTATCTATTCGGTCAAGTTATATAGAATTTTGTTAGCTTTTAGCCAATTTTCTGACTTGTTCTCAAAACTTTCTTGAAATGAAGCACCGGTTTTTTAAATGTTTTTCGAATATGTTGGATTTTAAAATAACTGTGTCTGATATTGTATCAGAAACTTCTCTTTCGATTTTTGAATACCGTGGTTCATCACTTGTTGTCGTTGTCAAGTTATTGAAATTTATATGCGCAAAAAGAACTAATAGAACTGTAGCGAAAAGTATTTTTCAAAAGAATCTCGCAAATAGCATGTAAATGATTGATTTTATCTTGATATTCTTACCTGTACAAGTTGCACTTGTTCTTCTATAGCAAACTGTTCTTCATTCTGTCTAATTAGTAAATTATTATTCATTTTCATTTGTTGTCTAAATAATTAAACATTAAACAAAAAGAAAATCTAACATCATTTTCGATTTAAGTTTTATTTACTGTAATTGTAAACGTCGATGAACATCATCTTCACTAAGATTCTATGTTAAACAAAAAAAAAAAAAGAAAAGAAAGTTATAATAATATATTAATTAATTTCTTTTACTGCATTTTCAAAATCGATCAGTGTATCATTACTTGTAGATTGATATTGTTGACGTCTTTTGCTAACACTCTATTTTTCATTAATGATTATAAAATTTTTATTTAAAATAAAACAAGAGATTTTACTGTAATAGCATCTTCATAATTTTTCAATGCATTAATCATAGCAGTTTTTACTTTTGTTACCATATCTAAATCATTCTACAAAATTTTAATTGCAAAAAAAAATACAAAACAATGATTTGATTGAAAAAATTACTCGTGATAATTCTTTTTTTCTTTTTGTCATTTCATCAGCTAATTCTTTTAATACAGTTTTTGTCTTTGTTGCAAGATTATGAAGACGACGTTCATCTTCATCTCTTAGGATAGAAAAAGCAAAAAAAAAAAATTTTATTTTATATATTTTTTAAACTAATTTTTTTTACAATCTTGAGCGAATTTCTGGTGTATCTGATGAAGTACCAAGTACACGTGCTTTCTCAGATAGATTTTTTACTAAAAATTAATAGAAAAGATTTTATTAAAAGTTTTGCATATTTTCTTGTATACCTTGTGTTTCAATGGCTTGCGCATGTTTAGTCCATGTATCGACTAGTTCATGGAAATGTGTATATGCTAAACGAAAATAAATTTTAATAAGAATACTCATTATGTAAAAAAACACTTACGAGCTGTTTGATATGAAGACATTCTG